CAATTTCCCGCATTAAAGAAAAATACCAAAATTTTCTTTCCAATAGATTTTATTTTCCCAAGTACTTTCAATATCATCTGAGATCATCTTCAGGGGGTTAAGTTCTCTTTCACTGAGTGTGTACATGTGTTTTCAGTAAATTCTAACCATTTCAAATGTTCGTTTTTACTGCTTTTGCAGCGTTCTAGTGTTCAATGTTCACTTTTTTTTAGGGGGTGGCGGGGTTCAGTTTAAGGGAAGTAACTTTTACATTTCCAATACGAACGTTGGCTTTACTACGACGATGCTAACAAAAAGGCTTACATTTAATTTGGCTGAGCATAGTTCAATAATTCAGCATTTAAACGAGCACTCATGCCCACACTCACAGATTAGACAGATATTACTTGAAAATATATTTATATTACATAAAAACAATAATAAGCAAAAACTAAAAATTCTTGAAGCCTAAGGAAAGAGAATTAACAACCAATATAAATAAATCCAATTGTAAACAAATGACGCCACACATTATGAAATGGACAAAATCTGACAGTTATTTTAAGACATTTTTATGTCTATACATTCTTTTTTTTTTTTTTTGATACAAACATTTAAGTAAATGCTCTATTTATAATAGACAGTATTAAACAACATTTACCGGCCTGAATGTCCGAGAAATTGTCATAGAAAATATGCGTCCTCTTAAATTAATTGTCGGACTTTGTCCATTTCATAATGTGTGACGTCATTTGTTTACATTTGGATACGCATCGAGCAGATATGAATGTACGTGAGAAAATCACAGTAAAAGACAGTAAAATCGACCTTGCTAACCGAAATTGTGGCGAAATCGGTAAATGCAGGTCAGGCTATATGACGTTTCCGTATAGGATACAGGTTCTATTGCTGCCGGAGGACGCATATTTTCGATGACAATTTCTCGGACATTCAGGCCGGTAAATTTTGTTAATACTCTTTATTATAAACAGAAAATTTACTTGAATATTTGTATTTATAAAAAAGAATGCATAAACAAAAATGTTTTAATATATATGTTAAACAGTGACTATTATAACTATATAGCGAGACTCTTCGCTAATGCGAATTGAGACACTCCCGGTCACTGGGCGTGTTTCTAAAAATAAATACGCTAAAAATCCACCTTCATCCCTACCGTGCGCCGACGGCTTAATTGTTACAATCTCCGACTGACACCAGTTCAGTCGGGTTTCGATCCTAGCTAGAGGCAACCGGATGTCTAGCCACACTGATGAGCTGTGAAACAGCGAAACAGTCTGTCTGTGGATGACGCTATATATATATATATATATATATATATATACATTACTCTTCAAGTAAATTGAGTTCTCCGAGCCGTTGTCGTAGGGTTAGAAAAAAAACGTTAAATTTCCCTTCCTTTCCACCGTGCGACGATGGCCTAGAGGTAAGGTATCTGACTTATTTCAAATCAGTCGAGATTCGATCTTGGCTTGAAACAATTGGACGTCTAGCCACACTGAAGAGCTGTGATAGAGTGAAAAAGTCTGTCTGTGGATGACAATATGTATAATGCAATATAAAATGTATTTTGTATATATTAACACTCCATGCATTTTCTTACAATCCTTAACCAAATCCGCATAGACCGATTTTGAGAAGGGACGTTGTCACAAGATAATCTTCACCAACCCCATAGATCCATAACTTTCCCTAGAGTATTTGTGAGAAAATGAATGTTGCAATCCATTCCGAATCCGAACTCACTCCCTCGTTATTAGGACATCCGTTCTTTTTTTTAAGAGGGCTGTCTTGGCAAGTTAAAATTTCCTGGTGTGTCGCTGTTTCTATGTACGTTGCATTTAATTGGCCATTTTGACCGGCTTAACATTGATTCTCCATCCGGTAAAAGAATGAAAATTAGAAATCTTTGCTGTCTTACAATACTGTTTGCCTTCTCATAAAATATGCCACAACCGCCCTCATCAGTTATCGTTCGTCTCAAATGACTCTTCTGGCTACGAGCACACACAGGAGCCATTTTTAAATCCGTTAACATCCAATGCCCAGGCCCCGACCGTTACCATCGTGATTAACCTGCCGATAGACATCCTTTTTTTTTTTGCTTTTTTTTTTTTATTTCATCTGACAATGTCTTGCAATATGAAGGCGCTGGTATAAAAAAAAAATGAAAGAACAAAAAATAATGAATAAATAGACATAAAAAAAATAGCGGACGTCTTTTTTTCCCGCCATTAGCTGAGGTCACTTGCTTGCTGCGCTTTGAACTCCGTATTTGATTATGCTTCGATGATCACGCTGGTATCTTAAAATACACACACACACACACACTTAATTTTCACTCTTTGTATTTTCTCTGGTTCACTCACTCACTGCCTCTGCTGTTAAGATTTAAGAACTTTTTATCTCTTATTATTTTCGCATTTAGACACTATATTTCTTTTTAGAAACATGTAATTTCACCTTACTACATCATCTATCTATCTATCTATCTATCTATCTATCTATCTATCTATCTAAGTCTTCATCTCTCTCTCTCTCTATATATATATATATATATATATATATATGTTTATCTTTATCTATGTCAGTCTTCATATCTCTCTATCTATATTTATTTATCTACATACATATACGTATCCATCTTTATCAGTCTATCTCTCTCTCTCTCACTCTCTCTCTCTCTCTCTATATATATATATATATATATATATATATATAAGTATTTATATCTATCTACTTATATATCTATCTATGTCAGTCTTCTTATCTCTCTATCTATTTATCTATCTATATCTACGTCTGTCACTTCATATCTATCTATCTACAAACATGTACATATCCATCTTTATCTATCTATCTATCTATCTATCTATCTATCTATCTATCTATCTATGTTTTATATAATGATAATGTATTTCTTCTAAAGTTTACGGACTGAGATGATCAGTGTTAAATCTCTCCCTCTGTCTCGAATACAAGTCATTTCACCTCCTCCTCTCTCTTCCTTCCACTCTGACTATTTTCACTTATTAATATTATAATATTATAGATCTATATCTTTCTTTCTTTCTTTCTTTCTTTCTTTCTTTCTTTCTTTCGCTTCAGTGTTTTTACTATAATATTTTTTTTAATTATTTTCAGGCTTAAACACTCGAAATTAAATCTTTCTTTCTGTCTTTTTTCTCGGGGCCACGTCCGCCATTTTATCTCCCCCCCTCACTTCCACTCTCACTCTCTATCTCGTCACAGTTCAATATTATGATTCCATTTTTTTTAATAAATATTTACGGATTGAGAAATTCATCACTTTTATTTCTTTCCTCAATCTTTTGTCTCTCTATCTCTCTTTCACTCTTTGAGCCAACGGCCACATTACGTTAAAAGTCCGCTTCCCGTACATTCACCGGAGTTAAGCAACGTCGACCCTAGTCATTACCTAGATGGATAATGGCTCAGAATTGTTCATCAGAGAGCTGAGTTCCAATTCCCGTTGAGTTCGTTGTATTCACTTACGCGCATATGCTCTCCTCTCCCCAGCTATGGGTTAATTAGTAAAACTTGTTTGCGTAAATCATTATCGTCTAAAAAGAAAACTTACAATCTTTAAAAAATGGCTTTAAGTAAACTGCAAAGGTTTGATAACGTATAGAAAACCAATCAATCAATCAATCGATGAAATATTTCACGCTTTGTTTTACTTGCAAATTTTCGGTTTTCCATATAGACATTAATCTCTCTCTCTCTTATACATATATTCGCCTTCTTCATCTCTTAACTCACTCTCTCTGTTTCTTCAAACTTTAAAACTGCAACACAGTTTCCTTTTTTCATTCTCTCACTAAAATCACTACATCTCTCTCTTTCTCTCTATCTCTCTCTGACGTCCACCCACTTCATCTTTTCTCTCCTCTTCTCTTTACACCTTGCTCTGTGTGACACGTGTTCTCTTACTCTCCTCATCCTCTTTGCCATGTACACTCATTCGCCTTTGTGTATATATATATATATATATATATATATATATATATAATATATATATAATCCTTTATGTTTATGAACGGTGGTCACTGCTTGGAAAAACCGTGGATAGTTCGACCTTTATTCATAACAATTCGCTACCCACAGGAAAAATAAGGAATAAAAAAAAGTTTTAAGGCGATGGCAAAACAAGCGGTCCTCAGAGTTCAGTGGCGCTCAAAGTCCAAAGAAAGAATGCCTCCATGCCATCCAGTAAAGGCGACAACGTTTCTGACCAATACGCGATATAGATATATATAGATAATATATATATAGCCAGCCTGTGTGATCCGTTTAGGTGAAACCATAAAAGATTTTTGAACGTTGATTTTAAAAACATGTATATATATATCATATATACATAACTGTGGTGCAGGTTATTTCTTATTTATTTCTTTTCTTTATGGAGAAAACATTCCTTTTGTCGACCTAAGCGTCAGTACCCCCACAATACCTAACGTTGGCGGTCCATCGATTTGGCAACGCCAGCGGTCCTCAATCACTCTTCCAGTGGCAGCAACCGGTGGATCTCTAGCGGTGCGCTCGTACAAATATAGCAGATGCAATGCACAGCCATCAAAGCAGTTGAGACAAATAACTCATAATGATTGGACGCAGATCCAAAAGCTTTCATCAAGGACGTCCCCTGGGTGTCGCCGCTCCAAACGTGACGTCCGCCTGTCTGCGTCAGTCGTGCTATCCTCACTTGTGACGACCAACTGGCTTGGTATTGGTCGCGGAACCAAATGTGACGTTCTAACCTTTTGGTGCTTCGGAGGGGAATCTGGTTAGATTTGGTATCAGCCTCGTCGTTCCCAGCTCGCTTCCAACGTCTGGTTAATGAAGTAACTGATTTGATTTCTAGTCTAACCTACCCACGTTGTGAATTGATCTAGGCAGACGAAATCAATCAGTCGCTGGGCCGTACTGCAAGCCGAGTTCGAACAAGGGCGATATCGCACATGTGTAAAAGAAAATAAAATAATAAATCGAAAAGTTCAAATGTGTTAAAAAAAAGGATAACAATACTTTATATCTGGTTGCTGAGTACAGGACTGATGCTTCTTCCCAAACCCGCTATATGGATTCGTGACACTTTGTTTTTGTTAGGCGAGTCTTAACATCTTATGTTGTTTGTTCTTTTAAGAAACTGGTTCTTGGTGTGTCTTCAGGCGAAATTCGTAAAACTTGTTTTGGTGGTGTGAGTCTAAGCCGTTCTTCAAAAATAAATTGTTCTTGATTAGAAGATGAGTTCGGAATTTGCGCGAATCTTAGCTCTGCGAGGCGGGTCTTCAGAGCTCACTGCAACTAACTGGAACTTAACTGGAACTGAAACTGATCTGCGCTGGAACTGAACTGAACTGATTTTCACTCCTTTGCGACTCTGCTTATATGGACGCCGACCAAAACCGGGGTGGGCTTGTCGGGGTTTGAGGTTTCTTGGTAATTCCAAACCCACAATCCACTCCTTTGTTTTCGGTCAGGAAATTTTATTAATTTCCATTTTTGGAAGTCTTTTCGTCCTCCCACCTTCTGTTCTCATATTTGTATCTGACCATGCCCTCAGAGGGTGTCAACGGGTTTCCCCTCTCTCTCACAGTGGAATCTCACACCTATCCCCTCAATGGGTGCCAGCAGGCCTCCCCTTCTGCCTCACATGATCACCTCCGTTATCATTCAGCCAATGGGCGCTCAGCAGCGTGGGTGTGGCTAGACTAGCCTTGTTTTAAAAAAAAATTTGCTCAAAGAAAAAAAAAATCTTTTCTTTTCCTTTTCCTTTTTCCTTCTTTCTTTCGCAGTATTGTCCCTTAATCGCAGCTCTTATTCTCAATGTCACCTGGTATCTATCACCAGGGGCCTTCGCCAAACAAGTGGGTAATCAATTAGACGTATTTTGCATTCTTGGTGCCAATTTCTGATAAAATAGTTTCGCTGTCATAGCCGAATTTCAACACAAAACAGATGCCTTGTCCAAACGATATCTTCCCATCGAGAAAGGCTTAACCTATGGTTTGGTCTTTTGTTTTTGCAACTCTTGTGTGGTCAACGGACATTTTTGTTTCTCGGTCAGCGGGTGACCTATTAAATTTTTATCTCTTTAGATTTCTGGGGAAGCCCCAAATGGCATTCCCGTGACACAGTTAAATGTTTATCTATTTAGAATTCTGTCTCTGAGGTTATTTGGCCAAACTGGAACTTCCACCAGCCCCGTAACCTAAATCAGATAATTCCAGTATCTTCTTTTTTTACCTTCTCGACAATAGGAAATAAAAAATTTACCACTTTTCCTTGTCAGAAAAATAACACCGCTTAGTGTTCTTTTCGTGATGGCTTTTTATCATCTAAATTTAATTCTCGCCTTTCTTTTTCTTTCCTTTTTCCTTTCTCCTTCTAGCAACCTTAAATGGTGTCACACTTGCATCATCCTTAAAAGTTCAAATCTTTCGAACATGGATCGAACCCGTCCAACTCTATGGATCAGAAACAGGGACATTATCTGTTTGTCTTGGGAGGCGACTGGATGGAACATATAGAAATCTACTTAGAAATATCCAGAACATCAATTAGAGATTCCATGCAATGCTTAACCCGATTTACAGAGAACTGAGATCAATCTCAAAAATGATTACAGTTTGCAGGCCACTGCCACCAAGCGGACAGGGAAATTCTCATTTTCACTCCTATGGCATCCTTCTGAAGTCTTTTTCATTAAAAATTGATTTTCCCAGACACCATAGCTCAGGGACTCAGGTTTGGACATTGGGATCTGGGGACAGCAATACAGGACTGAACAGTGTGGAAAGGATTGTCAGTGAAGTTCCGACCAGTCATACGGAAGCCGAAGGAAAAGGAGGAGGATGATAGCACAAGACGAGCTGCAAGTAGAAAAATTCTTACACCAATCTTGTTGGTGTATTTTTCATGAAAGTTTGCTTGCGTAGAAAGTCAGTATTCAAGCTTTTTATTTTTAAATTTAGAAGACTTTAATTGACAGGAAACTAAAAGAGTTCCACAGGAGAGAAGTGCAAGAAAAGAAAATAATAAAATAGAAATTGCGATTACATTTAGCAATTTCAGCATGAAAATGATGAGACCTAGCGGCCAATCTAGTACTGCGATTCAATTCCTGAAGTGGACGTACCAAAAACGGAAGCACACCAAAACGATTACCATGAAATTATTTTTTTTAGAAAAGGCACAGGGAAGCTACAATACATGGTGTTCCCGTACTACTGCTCATGAACAGAGATGCAGGGAGCGTCAGTCCCTAGGAGATAGGTTACGTTCAGACAAGTTAAAAGCAAATATATATGACACTGAAAAGCATATTAACTGTCGTCTTCGCTGGCCGAACTCGTTGCCGAGTATTGGGGTGCTCATTAACATTTCCGTCTGTGTGAAATGAATCCTATGTTGAATCTGAATAGACGTCCGCAGGCCACGGCATGGTAGGGTTCAGGGGTATGGGGAGTTCTAGCTTTTCTTTGAACTCTTTTTGTCTTGTCTATTTTCAAAGGATGTCGTTTCATTCATTGTCTGCTCTTCTCCAATTGGTTCCCTCTGCAGCTCCCGTCTCCTAATGGACCGAATCGATTTCTGTCCTCAGCAAGGTGCGTTCAGCTGATCTCTGAATCAACGACGTGGGGCTCCACGTGGTCTCGTTCCAGATGAACGCTCCGAGAAAAGGATTTGTTTGGTTAGGCGGGTGGCTAGTATTCGGGCAAGGTGGTGTCCGGCCCATTCGAAGTCGGTGTCGAGTCATGATGGACCGAATCGATTTCTGTCCTCAGTCAGGTGATTTTGAGCTGATCCTTGAATCAATGACGTGGGGTTCTACATGGTGTCGTTCCAGATGCACGCTCCGGGAAGAGGATTTGTTTGGTTAGGTGCATGGCTAGTATTCGGGCAAGGTGGTGTCCAGCCCATTCGAAGTTGTTGTCGAGTTATGATTGTCTTTAGGCTCTCCATCTTTACGCGGAGGTGAATTTTCGCTGTTTGTCATCCGGTCCTCCCACGTCTACCGCAGGATTGTGACGAAGTTTTGATGAAATCTTACAAGTTTGTGGATGTTTCTTCGGCATTATCCAGGTCTCACAGGCGTACAGGAGAGTCGAAATTACACCACCTCGGTAGATCATGAGCTTGGGGGTTTGTTTGTAGCTCGGGACTCAGGATTAGACTTTAGGGATCTAGGGACAGCAATACAGGACCGAACAGTGTGGAAAGGATTGTCAGTGAAGAGAAATACCAGAAAAGAAAATAATAGAATAAAATTACGGTTACAAAGAAAGACTCTTCGAGTTTATGTGCCAAGGTGCAGTTGTCTTTGGTGTATTGGAACTCTGTGACTCGTGTGTTCGAGTCCTGGACCGGGGAGCCGAGCTATGTTGAAGGGGCCACCATCGGTGCGGTATCGAAGGTCGATTTCGGGGTTGTCGCCTGGAATCTCCTGAAGCAGTGCCGCCAAATAGATGGAGAAGACGGTTGGGGGAATTATCGTAATTCACCAAGACTGAATATGTTAACACATCTAACCAATTAAGAGATGGCAGGTCACGTGGTGTAATTTGTCACGCTAGGTCAATTACGAGCTCAATCTTCACTGGGTGCTCCATACTTTCGGCCTTGTGCTGCATCTAATCTACACTTAGAAAAACACCAATGAGTTAAGAGCAATGAGAATGAGAGACCTGCTTGGTGTAGCATCAGATCAATTATTATTATTATTGGGTTAACATTGCTTTATGTAGTATGGTTCACGAGGAAACTGTATGCAATGCAGTCGGGAGCTCCGTCTCCTGGTAGGGTTACCCGTAACTGTAAGAATAGAGGGAAGGGACCAGAGTATGATCCGATGATTGGCGGTTCGGGTGTCAAGGCGAAGTTCTACATCCGAGAACAAGTCGGCAGTCCGATGCATGCTATCATCATGTACCTGTCTCTCAAGCTTTGGTTTACCGCAGCGGATGGCGTCAGCCGAATTGTGTATGCCATGGAATGGCGACCAATGGACCACCTCAAACATTTCGCAGCCAAGGCATTCATGCTCAAGAACCAATCGGAGAAAAGCAGTCCACGATAATATAGCATCCTTCGAAAACAACAGAAGACAAGCAGAAGAGACAGAGAGCCCCCCCCAATAAATTAAGGGCTCTACATCCCTTCTGTATCATATGGTGGCTCTCAGATATTTCTTCAGAATCAACAGAACTAATTACACAAAGAAAGAAACGTCCAAGTCAATAAGCAGCCCAAGACTCGGTAACGAGTTCCGCCTACGGCGATGGAGTACGGTTTGTCCACAATTCTCAACCAGTGACTTGAAGAAACAATAATTTTTGTTGAATCAGAAGATGCAAACGGATGAAATGTTGGAGAACGAATGCAGTCAGTGAGAGAAAAAATCTCTCTGAACACGGAAATTTTAAAGGATAGTAATTTCGTCATTACGTGCAACTTGTAGTGTTTTATGTTCCCGCCAATTCTGCTTGTGAGGGATATTATTATTATTATTATATGTCTATATTTCTGAGATGAGTTATTATGTACACTATTTACATTATTCGGATTATTGTTTTTTTTCTTTTTTTCTATCTTTCTTTCTTTGTGACCATATTTATTACAACGTTTCTGCCGTTCAGTATTTGTATTCTGGATTTTATTCTCCTTTGGTTTCATCTCTGTCGCCATATTTATTAAAAGATTACCATATTTCAGAGTTTCATGGGGTAGACTGTCCTCATAAATGGTTAACGGATTCTAGTTATCATATATGTATATATATATATATATATATATATATATTGTCCACAGTCTTTTGGGTATATATATCTAACCATAGGTAAATCAGTTCTTCGTAAGGTGTGGACTGTAAATGTGGCGTCAAAGATTGAGAATAATTTTTTGTTTTTTTTACTTCTTTGTCTCATCTCAGAAATTTAGACAGATACCATTTTCTTTTCTAGATTTTATTCTTTATTATTAATTTACTTTCCTACTATAAATCCATTGTTTCATCTATTCTTTTTCACTTTTTCTCTAATTTAATTTACATATATTTAATTTTCAAAAATTTTTTCCTTATTTCAAATTTTCCTATATCGTGTTTTCATTCCTTGTTTCTAATTTTTACATTCTTTGATTTATTTTCCTTTAAATTTTTTCTTAATTTAGACCGATTTTTATTTTTCTCCTTTGGTTTTTATCTTTTCTTAAACATTTTATATAGTATTCTATATAAGTGATATATATGGATTCGACTTTTTCGAAGGTGTGGATTATGAGAACAATTTTTTTTATTTTTTCTTCTTTGTCTCTTTTGCTTTTCTTTTTTTCTGAATTTGCAATATTCCATTTCATCATTTTTCTCTATTTCTTTTACATTTTTACTTTTACTTTTTCCTTATTTGATTTTCCTATATCGGTTTTCATTCCTTGTTTCTTCCTTCATTCTTTGTTCCTGCTTTTCTTTCTCTTTTTCTCTTAATTTTTCCTTTTATTTTTCACTTGTTTATCTTTTCTTCCATTTTCATACAGTTTCTTCAAACCTGTGCAGCTTTTTCTACTCGATTATCTTTAGCCTTTCTTTTCCACGCTCTTTTCTTTTTTTCTCTTTGCATATTCTTCCATTGTTCATTGTATTTCTTTCTTTCATTCTTTCTTTCTTTCTTTTTTCTTTGTTTGTTTGTTTCTTCAGTCTTTCTTTCTTTCTTTCTTTTGAAGCTTCCTTCCTTTTAATTTCATCCGAAGGAAGAAATAAGTAAAAGTAGAAAATTTGGACCTTCTGATTTCTCATTTCACCATCTTCTCAATCTTCTATTTCTTTCTTTCTTTATTTTCTTTCTTTTTTCTTTTTTTTTCTTATTTTTTCCGTCCCAATTTCGTTGTCTTTCTCTGTTATCTTTCTTTCTTTCTTTCTTTCTTTCTTTCTTTCTTTCTTTCTTGTACCGTTGCCTTGCCTTTCTTCATTTTCTCAGTCTTCTAATTCCTTTTTCATTTTCTTTCTTTCTTTCATTCATTCTTTCTTTCTTTCTTTCTTTCTTGCTTTCTTTTACTACCCGTTCCAATTACGCCGTCTTTGTCATTTTTCTTTCTTTCTTTCTTTCTTTCTTTCTTTCTTTCTTTCTTTCTTTCTTTCTTTCTGTGTACTTTTATCTTTGTCTTTTCATTGTAATTCAGTTTGCCTCGCACTCAATTTTTTTTTATAGCCTTGATTTTTTTGTTTATCGGTTTTTCCATTATTTTTTTCATTTTCTTTCGTTCCTTATAGACTTTCTTTCATCGCTTTCATTTCATGCATCATATTTTTTATCCCCATTCATAAAGCCATTTCATTCTTGCTCTTTTCAGGAACTCCACCGTCGTCAGGTTTAAGAGTCTTCTGATTCCTTATCATCCATTGTCGTCTTATTCAAGTATTCAAACTCCAGAATGACCGTCTTAGCATAATTCCCCCATCAAGTCAATTCCCAAATGATGAACTCTAGTCATGATGGGCAACCTTTCTTCTGTTCTTTCGTCCGTTCCACTTTCTCTAACTTTCTGCTCTATTGTGCGTGCGTGCGTGCGTGTATGTATGTGTGTGTGTGTGTGACGCGGGAAAGGAAATTTTCCTGTTACACCCACTCTCCACATACACTTGCTTTGCGCTCCCCCACCCAAAACCAGCATCGGTGTTTTCGACACTTCTATTCTGACCGAACCAACCGACGGACCAATCCCCACAAATCTACTTTCACTTTCACTTTCACTTTCGCCACGTGCTGATATCAGTAATTATGTTGGCAGACCACAAAAATAATAAATAAATAAATAAAACATTAATTCTTAGGATTAGTGATTTTATTATTATTATTATTATCATGATTATTTGTTGTTTTTTTATTGTCATCCGGAGTAATTTTAAGGCACTTTTTATGTGTCGAATGTGAAAGTGGAAAGATAATTCAATATTAAAGCTAATTGATTTTATTTTGCGTTAATAAAATCTTAAAAATGATAAGAGATTTTGAATACGTATATGAATAAATTTTAGAGATATCATTAGATTATATTACTATTTATTGTGTGATGCTGTAAAAAGTTTTGTTTTTTAAATTAAAACAGTTTATACATTTATTGAGTTAGGAAATCGAATGAACTGTTCAGAAATATTGGAAGCAAAATGCAATTGACGGAAACATAAGAATTATACAAACAATGACATATGTTCGCCGTTAAACAGATGCATTAGCTATTTGTTGAGAGCCTTTCTGATGCTATATGAAACGTCATTCTAAACCTCTACCATATTTTCCTGTCTATAATACACGAAAATTGTGAACGAAAATTGAAGAATAAAAAAAAGGCTCTATTATACAGGTTTTCAGAAATGGTCACAAGATGTTAACACACAAGATTTCAAATACACTCAGCACAATATATATATATATATATATATATATATATATATATATATATATATATATATATATATATATATATATATATATAAATTTGTAACCTCTATTTGTATGTCATATTTGTTTTGGAGATATATATATATATAACAACATATATTCTGAAAATACATTACCAAGGGTACTTGGATAAGTATATTAAAATTTTTTTGATCAAAGGGGTCCATGGGTGAGGTTTACAGACCGCCCCGTTTTCCCGTTGTTATAAATTAAATTTAAATTTGAACAAGGGAATGACTTCTACGTTACTTGGATTAGTATAATTCATTTTGATCAAAAGGGGTCCCCGGGTGAGGAGCACAGACCGCCCCACTGATTTTTCTCCTTTGATATGTTAAATTTAAATTTGACCAAGGGAATGACCCCACAGATACTTGGATATTTCAAATTGGTTAAAGGGTTACTCGGAATGGGGACAACCCTCCGATGGAATTTTTTTCCCTTTGATATAACTTAAATTTAAATATGAACAAGGGAATGGCTCCTAGGATACTTGAAAAAGTATATTTCATTTTGATCAAAGGTGTTCCCGGGTGGGGTATACATAAACTCCCCACTGATTTTTTCCCCCTTTGATTTAAATTAAATTTGGACAGGGGGATGACTCTTATCCTAAATATAGAAGGAGAAACCCAGAAGATGGAGGTCACATCGGCAAGATCAAAATGAGACAATATGGACATCAAGTTGAGCAAGAAATCACTAATCTGTGGGTAGTGCCTTACAATACATATACAAATATGTATTGTAAGGCACTACAACTGTCATATCAAGTTTAGAATCTGCTCATCATTTCATACAATCAAGTATTGCATCAAATACATATCAAAGGGGTCAGATTAAGCTGTTTTTGCACCCCCACTCATTTTTTCCCTTTGATTTAAATTAAATTTAAATTTGGACAGGGAATGGTTTCTATCAAAATATAAAAATCATTGAGTAATATTGAAATGCATTATTTTTCTCAAGAAATTTAAGCAGTGATTTTAAATCAATCATCATTTCCTGTGTGACACGCAACAAGTCGCGGGTAACTCGGCTAGTAGATAATAAAACTAAAGGTAAAACGGCGTTGATGACAATTGTTTACGAAGGGTATTTGATATGCCGACAATATTTGTTTTTCTCTTCGTTCTTAATGAAAGACAAGATTTGTTTGTCTTTTCATAGTTTATGAATACATAGAAATATAATAAATTCTTATCTAACAGAAAAGTATGATAGATTTAGTTAACAGCTTAAAATGTATTACCGGGTCTGTCTACACAGTCCCTTTTCCCCGAAAAATCCTAAATAAATTTTGAAACGGAAATTAGGGAATGGAACATGCAATGGCTAAACATCCGGTTCATTTCTCTTGTTTGATATCGTGAAAAATGAAATATTTTACTGAAAAAAAAAGACATTATTTAATTAGAAAGAACGTTTATTTTTCTATTATGAATAAAATACATGATAGACACTATTCTCTTATGAAAAGCAGAAATTAGATCAATAATGGATTTTTACAAATTTTTCTATTTTTAAAAATTTTTAATTATAATAATTTATAAAGTTTTAATTTTTTTAAATTCTGTATTAATTTGTAGCCGCCAAATGACATTGTTAATAAATAAAAAAAAAACTGTATCTACTAATAATAAATAATAAATGGAAAAGCGTACTACAATGTATCGATCCTCAGTATTTTAAAAATATCGCAAGAAAGCATTTTTAAATCTAAGGAGGGGATAATTTTATAACAATTATCGCTTTCTTAGATGTAAAAGTGGTTTTCCGCGATATTTATATCAGTATTAAGGACAAGTCCTCCGAGAATTACGATAATTGATTTTGGGGAGGATAAAGCACGTGTCCCAGTTGGCGAAAATTTGCCCTAAATCGTAAAATAAATGATTGTTTACGAAAGGTGTTTGATATGATTACAATATTTGTTTCTCTCTTCGTCCTTAATGAAAGACAAGATTTTATTTTTATTTTCATACTTTATGAATATATAGAAATACAATAATTTCATATCTAACAGAAAAGTATGATAGATTTAGTTAACAGCTTAAAATGTATTTCCGGATCTGTCTACACAGTCCCTTTTCCCCGAAAAATCCAAAATAAATTTTGAAACGGAAATTAGGGAAAGGAACATGCAATGGCTAAACATCCGGTTCATTTCTCTTGTTTGATATCGTGAAAAATGAAATATTTTACTGAAATATACTAACGATATTCATATCTTAATAGATGATATGGTACAACATTTAAAAACATATACGTAGGGATGGCAGGACTACGGGGTCGTGCTAAATTCATAAATGAAATGGTTTCAACACAGTTCCTTTCTTTCAGTCAGTCATGTGCCATGCGTGATACATGCTTTCGATACATGACTGACGAGGCAGATTTTTTTCGCGCAATAGGTTGCCATTTCTTTCTGCGCTACTGCAGAAAGGAATGGTATACATGGCCATAAAACCCGGACTGTTCTGCTATTTACCCATAGCTGGGTGGAAAAGAGAGTATTCAT